TTAGATTGTAAAAAAAATATAATTAGTAATGGCGAAATGTTATTGAGTATAATTGCCAACATTTATCTGGTAGTTGGGCAATCATAATTTTCAAGGAACACCATTTTGACTTCAGGTATTGTACCCATAAAGCAAAAAATGAAGTACAGATTAATCAAAGCACACTCGATAATATCAATTAGTACCATGCATTTATAGTTATCTGAGTGAGTAACTCGCTGATTTTAGGTAAAAATAAGAGAAAATCAAAAACTTGAGGGAAATTTCCTTAAAATGAATACGACAAGAATTAAGAGAATGATCAAAAAAATATTATTAAGGAGATAAAAGATTTTTTTTACCATTATCTTAGGCCATCATCATTAGTGAGAATACTGCTGAGTCTCTTCAAAAAAAAAAATTGATATTAACAAAATAATAACCAAAGAAAAATGACAAAAGACATAAAAAGCTCTCATAGAGAGACGATAGTACATTTGGGAATAGTTGATCATTGCATTTCTCTTACTTTTTGTATTTTTCTTTATTTTCATTTTGAGAGACTGAATAATTTTGAACCAATGCACATGCTCTTAGAGCACTCCTTATTGGACGTTCTCAACTTAAGTTTTTCAAAATTGGCAAATTTCACGAAGATCATAAAGTGGATTTGTTTAATCAAAAAAACACATAAGGAGAAAATGAGCAAAATAAATTTTATTAAAAATGCAAAAGGTTCTTCTACCATTACCTTGGAGCACTTCCAATTAGAGGTTCTCAACTTAAGTTTCTTAAAATATTATATATATATATATAAAGTATTTAATTGTGGGTGTCTCAGTTTTACAAGAAACTCAATTCGAATTATTTTGAAGGAAATACTATATTTATATAAAAATATTAGTACTATAATAGAAAACTTTTCAAAACTAAATGTGAAAAAAATATTCTTATAAGAATATTTTCATTTTAGAAAATATGACTCATACATCATAGGGATTGACCTATGAAAGCCCAACTACATTGCATTGTCAGAATTCATGTTATATATTGGAAAGAGATTGATCTCCTTGCTTCTATGGTACAATCCTCTTCCCGCTGAGCCTTCTTTCTTCCGTGATTAACTGTTGGCACCAGTCCTACATTTTGTCTCTGTGGACCGAGAAGAAAGGACTCACTGCGCCAAGATCACTAACTAATACTCATACATTTATTAGGCCAGACCCGTCCCTACTATCCCTATATATATTAAAAGAGAAGTATTTGTAATTAATATGTTCACACTATATTTTTAAGTATGATGACGTGTCGATCTTACAATTATTTAACAACTAATGCGTTGACACACTATTTTTTTTAATTACACCGCATACAATTTAAAGTGTTTGCATTCTTTTTTTTCAACAAGCTCATTTTTAGTTCCTACGTTTTTAACATTTGTTATAGTGAATTGAAATTAATTAAAATTATCTTTGTACAACTATTAAATAATATCATTTTATAAGAAACAAAGAAAAAAACATTAAGATTCTCATCAACTAAAATGCTGTAATGAGAATGTTCTTAGAAAACAAAAGTTTCATATTTTGCCGAACTTGGCCATAGTTGAGATTTTTGTTCAGGAAAGAAACAAATAATTGTAATTGATTATGAATTAAGGAAACTGAGATTAAAAAAAAAAACACACGGAGTTGGATATTTAGTTTAGCCAAGTATTGCTTTTCTTTACGAAGTTTTCATATCATACCAAGAATTAGAAACATAATCTGATTAATAGAAAAATCTAAAATCAGAAAAAATTAAAAGGAAAGAAAATTTGTGATATTGATTGAAAACATGATTCAACAGAATCACATGTAAATATCTAAAAATAACAGGAAATGTTAAAAATATTGATAATTATTATTTTTTCTTATCCAAATATTAAAAGTGAACTAATTTTATGTAAATTTAAATATTTAGTCCTATATTATTTAAATGTTATGTTTTATACTATTGTATTTTTGGATATTAAGGACTTAAGTATATTTGGATTTTTGTTGAAAATACGTAATTAAAATGGACATCCGAACTCGAATTTAAATTGAACCCGAAATTATTGTAACCAAATGTAAACCAAAAATTTTAAATATTCGAACAAGATTTAAATTTCTAACTCTAAAAATCTGAAATCTGAATAAACTAACTGAATCTGAATAGATATATGGATATTCATCCTTAAAAAGTTATATGATAAATTTATAAATACATTGTACAATAAATAATCTATAAACTGTTTACGCTGCGCACATCGCGGGTTACTACCTAGTAAGATAAGTAAAACATATGCTTTAGGCAACAAGATATAGAAGAAATTTTAAGGCCAAATGTCAGTGAATATTAGGTAAAATGGTCAACTAGTTTGATTTGGTTAGCATACCATAGTTCAATCGTCCTTTTGCCCAACATTAATGTATTTCGATGACCTTATACACCTTGTTGAGCTTTACTATTTCTTGTTGGTATTTTTTATAAGAGGCCATACCATACTTTTTTGTGCTTTAGCTCATCCTGAATTATGAGGATGGCACTAGATTAGACTGTAGCAGGTAACTTTAGTTCTAATTCTCTCTACAATCATATATATTATCAATCATGTTTTAACTAGTTGTAAAGTTAAAGTCATTTTTTAAAAAGTGGTTCTGGAAAGCTTATTTTCTAAAGCAAAATATATTGTTGTAAGAATAGATTTCTTTTTATAATCTTCTCATTTAATTTTTACACCTATATTAAAAACAATTTACAAACTATATTCAATAGTAAATTTTCTACGATTACAATCCAATCAGTCGTTTCTAATATTTTTTTTTTTTACTTTAAGAAAGTACATAAAACATAATTGGTGGGTTAATATAATTGTAAATAGAAACTAAATTAAAAACACTCAATATAGTCCAACCAAGCGCTCCATCTCATTCTTTAAATATTTGTATTGTTTATGGAGCAACTGAGGAATCAATCAACTATGTTTTTATCGAGTGTTCCCGGGTGTTTAAGTTTGGGTCCTCTCACGAATTCCATCGCATCCATCTATATTTCATATTTCATTGCTCTTTGTAAATATGGATTATTAGTTTTGGAGAATAACCCCAAAAATGGAAAATCATTAGTCTGAATTCTTTGGTATATTTGAAAATGAATGAATAGCATGGTCTTCAGTAATGTAGATATTTCCCTTGAGATACGCTGCAATTGGTATAAACCAAATCAATTTTTTGGGAAGTAGCACATACATACACAACAGGCAGATCAACCACGAGAGGGGGAACTGGGACTATACTTAACATCCCGGGACAGTGGTGTTGTATGGATAGTTGATAAAAAAATAAGGAGACATACTCGGGACAAATATGGTATAAGTATTTTAAAACTTTTTGATGGTCTAATGTGGGTAAGGAATACAAGGGTAGCCTCTCACCCCGTCATTCAAAAATAATGCTCTTATTTGGGTAATGGAAAAGCATGCAGAATTTATTGTAATATCATATGACTTTTACAATGGATTATTTTCAATTGATTTCGGAATCAGATTCTGCTTTTACAACTTACTTAAAAGATATCCAAATACTCAAAGAATGCTTCAACCACTCAAAAGTTATATAGTTATATATGTATCATGAACGCAAAGACAGGAGGACAGATAGTCTCACACGGAATCTTAGAAAAAACCATCTTTCGTAATTCATATTGCTTAGTCCTAATCTCAGTTTATGTTGCCGGCAAGAAAACTACTATTGTTTAAGAACATAGTTAAAATGCAAGTAGGAAACCATTCACATAATTATAAATGTCACATTATAATTTCTCTAAGCGCTTCCGTCTAAATCTTTCCGTCTTTTTCTATCTCTTATCTTTTTAAGTTTTTATTATTTTGTTTATGAGAAATTCAATGTTCTTATTTGTCTCGTATATAGATATTTTTTTCTTTAACATCAGAACCAATCATTTATTATCTTTAAGGAGGCACCTTATTTTCTTCTTCATTAAGTGTAAAACACTGAACTCAAATTTTGGTCTTGTGATGACAAAAGAACATTGTTCTAACCAGCCGCACTTGGCTAATTGGTTACCTACTTTCATCTCTAACTTCAAGCCAACATTGTATGTAAACTTCCCTTGTCATTTACGTTAAATTATCTTCTGTAACCCACATGAACTATAAAAGACCCTTTTAGTTAGAGAACATTTTTTTTATAACAGTGGTGTGATCCCAAAGATTTTCTAAGTCCAAGGACTAATCACCATGAAATCTGCAGAATCCATGTTTTCTTACTACTTAAAGCATCCCGGGTGAACGGACTTGTAGGTGGTGGTACTTACAGTTATAAGCCTTTTGCCACAAAAACTGAAGACTCCGGTTAAATCAAAAACATTTATTTAAGAGAAAATTCTATAAAAATTCCTCAATTAAATTTTATTAAGTTTTTAATACCATAATTTTTTCACTATCCAATTTAATACCTCAACTAACTAATTTGTTCATTTTAATATACAAAAATTTAAAATTGCACCTTTTTTAATATCCAAACTTTATTTTAATTACAAATACTAATAAGTTTCAAAAAAGATATTAAAATCTAAGAAAAATATTCAAAATTTATAATTTTATCTTAATATTTTGGAAAGAATGTAAATAAACTATGGAGAAAATTTTAAAATGTCATTTTGAAGGGAAAACATATTTTTCTTTTCAGAAAATAAACTAAATTCAATAATTAAAACTTAAAAACTTTATAAAAAATTATTTACTTTTATTTCTAAAAAAAAAATCAAATTAGAATTTTCTTAGGTTTTTTTGTAAATTGTAGAGATTTTTAAATTCCGTTTGAAATTTATTAGTATTTTTATTAAAATTAAAAAGTTTGAGTATTAAAATAGGTACAGTTTTAAAAGTTTGTCTATTAAAATTAGCAAAATAATTAGTTGGATGGCGAAGAAATTTAGGTATAAAAACCTTTAAAAATTTAATTGATGTATTTTTATGGAATTTTCTCTTCATTTAACCTTGTATTTATTACATGCTGATATTTGAGGTAAAATAAACAAACAAATGTGGCCTACACACTGCCAATTTTAAAGGGTTTACGCATGCATCTACAAACTAAACCCTCTACACCGATCAAAGGATACATGATAGTATTAAGAATTCCAATCATATATACTACAAAAGAAACAAATCAAATGAACAAAAAAGACTTAAAGGAAGATCCTTAAGTAATATTCAGTATTATCTACAAACCTAACTCCTTCATGTTCTGTTCCTGACTAATCCTCCTCCATCACATTTCTTCTTCTTTGACTGACACAATGAAGACATAGCTTTTGCAGACGCCACTCTCCTCACCAAAAGCTTCCACTTGGTGTCTTCGCCCATCTTTTTGTCTTGTTCTACCCTTTTCTTAAAGTGCCTGCTCAAAAAAAAAAAAAAAAAATCGACTAAGACACATGAGATTCTAAATATCTACAAATATCTACACAATGCCCCACCATCAATTCTCACAGCAATTTGCAAAGTTTCAAAAGGTGGGTCACAACAAACTAGTGTCAACGTAAAGCCAAACCAGATGTGTCTCTTTCAAATAGTGAACTTTTTTTTTTTGTAAACTATCACATATGTATTGGTTTTACTTTTTATTTGGGAATCGTGAATTTCAAATTAACTCAAGAACATTTTTCATTATCAGAAAATGTTAGTTTACTTTTAAGAAGTTGGCTTCGTAATAAAACGTAATAAATAAAATGTTGAGACATACCTGCAAAGAGGGACCCGACAAGATTCAGGCTGATCACATATAGAAGAATGGAGTCTTAGAAGTTGAAGGATCCGCTTGCAACGAAGACAGCCTTTCTCGTCACTCCTCTTCTTGCATACGGCAAAATGACGTATCGAAAGCTGGAGGCCGTAACACGTCGAAAACGACTTACAAGGCTTTGACTTCGCCCCAAACGGAACAGCCGTTGACTCGTTATCGTCTACAATGTTTGTTGGACCGACCAACGTACAACCTTGTGTGCATATATGCTCTATACACTCCATTGCCTCGCTTAGTTGCATGTACAGATTCTGTTCCTTTTTATGTCTCCGTCTTCTTTTCTTCCTCTGCATTAAATCATCATCCACCACACAAATCACAAAATGAAAATACCAAATTGAACGAACCTATTTCAAACAAAATAAACCTTCTTTTGTTTTTATTATTACTATAATTTTTATTATTATTATTATTTTCACAAAAAAAACGAATAAACTTATTTTCTAATATTTGAATTACAATAATAATAAAAAAGATTAAAGAATAGTACTAGTTTTAAAACTGATATTTTTATATATTTCATTATCTTCTTATCTACTCCTTTGGGAATATAAAATATACAGGTTAGTATTCAAAAATAACTAAGAAATTAAGAATTACCGATTCAGTGTCGTCGATGAACTGGAGGATGTCGAGCTCAAGAACAGGATCGTGTTCTTGTAGAAACTTCCATCCTTCAGTCTGTTCAACAGTCTTAAACTGACACTGGATAAGGCGCATAGATTTGAGACACACATCCGGAGCATCGCACAGCCTAGCCAGCTGCAGAACATCGACAACGTTCTCCACCGTTAAACGCTCAACAATGCCTTTTGAGCAGCGTTGCTTAAGATTCGTCACCATGTACACGTGAGACAACGCTAAAAGATGGATCCCATATTTTTTCAACTCATCCTCCGTCAAACTGCGCGTGAATAAAAAAAAGATCAAATGGTATGTTAGTCATTAGTTTGACCAGCGGTTTACCCAAAGAAACACGGTTTGACAAATTAATTTGTTCGGATTAGTACTCGTTACTTATTAGTTAGCCGTTGATTATTTCCACTTTGTGTAAGAAAAACGTTCATAATCTTCCACCAAAGAAGAAAATATAGGTTTGATTTTCGCAATAAACAAACCTAGAAGAATAAAGGTATCTGATAAAGGCAGAAACGGCATCGCATGGAACGCCAAGAATCTTGATTGCTCTCTTTGCTCCATAACGTCGGTAACGTCTCACCGGTTTCTTCATGATGTGCATTAGTACCGGTGAAGCCGAAGCCTACATTATCCATAAGTTAAACAAAACCAAAACCGAAAATATTTAAAACTGAACCAGTTTAAACAAAAGGAACCAATCTTACCAGAATACCGGAATGAGCCGGAATCCGACGGTTGCCGGAGGTAACGATAGTAACGTCCGACGCTGTTAGATTATATGAAACTTTATCGGTGATTAACGAAAATCCGTCGTCTTCTGACATGGCGGTTACGGCCATTGCGACAAGGACAGGTTCCATTAATTGCAGAGAGATGAAGAAAGAGAGTTTTGAGAGAAATAGAGAGATGTATGTGGTTGTAAGAAAAAACTTCGGTACATTTCGAAATATATAGAGCTTCGCGAGGTGGGTCCCATACTCCAACCTTTTAGTGCCTGCATGGCGTTCTTACAAATATCTTTTTCTTGTCTGTCTAGTCTTATCTTACACGCTCTTGAGCTGGCGCGTGATCTGTTTCACCAAAATAAATATCTTTTTTTCTTGGTCAGGTACCTAATATTTTTGCTATTTGTTTTGAGACGAAAATAGCATTTCTAGAAAACAAAATTCTGAAAGTGGATTAATCTTAAGTATTCTTTATAACGAACAAATAAATTATTTACAATTTTATATTCTCGAAAAATAAAACTATTGTAGAATGAACCTTCCACATATAATACTAATTCACTGTCTAGCAAAATAACCATTTTTATAAAAAAAAATGAAAAATCTAAGTAATTATAAAAAAAAAACAATTATCAGAAAAATTTATTCTTCAAAATGGAATACTTTTAAGATTATGTGTTTGATAAATTACATCATGAATCGTAAGGTGTAGAATTTGTAATTCATTAAAGTATAAGAAACATCAAATATCAAATAAGCGAGGAACTGGATAGAAAATATCTAATTTAAATCTAAAACGTGTTTTGTACCTATCTTTCTTAGCAATTTCTTAGTAAATGGTCAGATCGAAAATTTATATAAGTACCACCATTTGTAATTCATTTAAAACACACAAAAAAAATCAGCTTTAAGTTTGATCAAAGACAAAAAAAAAATGTCATGTCCGAGAAATATTTTCAAGTTGCGGAAGTGGCTGTATTCACACAGAGATAATAACGGTAGAGTGATGAAAGAATTTCTCGAAGGGTTGGAGACGTTTATGCATCAAGCAGATTCTACACCACTCACGCAGGAAAGTGGTAAGATGTTATGTCCTTGTCGGAAATGCTGCAATACAAAATTAGGCCCTCATGAAAATGTTTGGAAGCATTTAATAAATAGAGGTTTCATGCCATATTATTATATTTGGTATCAACATGGACAAGATGCTAGTTGTAGGAATAAATGTAATAGTAGTAATAGCAATTTTCAGGTTGAACCGGTTGATCATTTGCGTAATGAAAATAGCTATCATCACCAAGAGGAAAAAATGGTAGATTGTGATAAGGTTCATGATATGGTAGGTGATGCATTTGTAACTCATGATGATGATGAAGTTGAAGAACCTAACTTAGATGCAAAAAAGTTTTATGAAATGTTAGAAGCTGCGAATGAACCAATTTACAGTGGTTGTAGAGAAGGTATGTCTAAATTGTTGTTGGTTGCTAGAATGATGAGTATTAAAACTGACCACAATCTACCTGAAAATTGTATTGATGCATGGGCAGACTTGTTTAAAGAGTATTTGCCAGAAGACAAAGTGTCTGCTGAATCTTATTATCAAATTCAGAAATTGGTATATAGTCTTGGGTTGCCCTCGGAGATGATAGACGTTTGCATCGACAACTGCATGATTTACTGAGGAGATGATGAGAAGTTAGAAGAATGTCGATTTTGTAAGAAGCCACGATTCAAACCGCAAGGTCGAGGGCGTAATAGGGTACCGTACCAAAGGATGTGGTACCTACCAATCACAGACAGATTGAAAAGATTGTACCAATCTGAGAAGACTTCTGGAGGGATGAGATGACACGCCGAGCATACTCAGACGGATGGAGAGATGACTCATCCATCAGATGCAAGAGCCTGGAAATATTTTAACAATGTACATTAACATTTCGCTAGCAATAACCGGAATGTGTATCTAGGATTATGCACTGATGGATTTAGTCCATTTGGAATGTCAGGGAGACAATATTCATTGTGGCAAGTCTTTCTTACACCGCACAACCTACCACGGAAGATGTGCATGCGACGAGAGTTTCTATTCTTGACCATATTAATACCTGGTCCAAAGCATCCAAAAAGATCTCTCGATGTTTTTCTCCAACCACTGATAAAAGAGTTGAAAGATTTGTGGTCAATAGGGGCGAGGACATATGATTGTTCAACGAAAACAAATTTACAATGCGAGCGATGCTTTTGTGGACCATAAGTGATTTTCCTGCATATGAGATGTTGTCTGGATGGACTACACATGGGAGATTAGTCTGTCCATATTGTAATGGAATGACAGATGCGTTTCAGTTGAAGAATAGAAGGGAGACAACTTGGTTATATTGTCACCGTCGATTTCTTCCCGTTTACCACCCATACCGAAGAAATAAGACATTGTTCAAGCGCAAAAGGGTTGTCAGAGACACTCCTCCTCCATACTTAACTTGAGAACAAATCGAAGCGCAAATCGATTACTACGGTGCTTTAGAAACAGCTCCTCGTGGTGGGAATTGGCATGTTCCCAGTAATTGTCTGATTTTTATGGTGTTCAGCACAATTGGCACAAAAAGAGTATATTTTGAGAATTGCCATATTGGAAAGATCTTCTTTCGCGCCACAACCTCGATGTGATGCATATAGAGAAGAACTTTTTTGAGAACATTGTGAACACTATATTGAATGTCCCAGGGAAGACGAAAGAAAACATAAAATCGAGGTTGGACTTACCCAATATTTGCTCAAGGAGTGAGCTACATATAAGAAGCAATGGGCAAGTTCAAGTTCTGATATTCAGACTGTCATCAGAAAAAAGTCTGTGTTGTTCAACTGGGTGGCTTCAGATGTGAAGTTCCCTGATGGGTATGTTTCAAAATCTCGCAAGATGTGTTGTGAAAGGGCAAAAGTTCTCCGGGATGAAGAGCCATGATTATCATGTCTTTATGCAGCGACTACTTCTCTTTGCATTTGCGGAGCTACTACCGGCAAAAGTACATGAAGTACTTTCAGATAATTAATATAATACGATGCAAAGATTAATTTCTTTCTTTATATATATATATATATATATATATATATATATATATACTAATGTGTATAATTTTTGTTTTTGTAATATATAAGGAATTGGAGCATTTTTTAGGGATCTGAGCACCCGCACTTTTAAAGAGGAAGTTGTCCAACAACTTCATGAAAACATCTCCATCTTAATCTGCAACTTGGAGAAAATATTTCCGCCTACTTTTATTTTCATGGAACACGTAGTTGTCATCCTCCCGTATGAGGCATTACTTTGTGGACCTGTGCATTATT